ACCAAAGTGACAGTCAGTGCTTTCACATCCAGTCATAATTTGTAAATCTTACTTCTCACTCATGCAGATCTTGTCATACAACATCACAGAATTCACTTAATTTCTCCTATGCATATAATTGTCTTTCAGTGCTCTCATATTTATATGTTGACTATTAAAATACAATTCTGTTCAGTTACATGACCATGTGGGAACAGCAATATTTTATTTATTGATTTGACTCCAATGCTCATTCCAAGAGGGATTAACTTATTTCCAGGTGTTTTTATGGAAAATAGAAAAAAAAACTAAGCTATTCCCAGTTTTCTACTCTAGAAAGTCTAGTAAAGCAGGATAAGTAGGACATTTTTATTAATGCATCCTCAGCTGCAGGTGTTCATTTGAAGGATCATCAGGCCTCTGTCTTCTAATAGTGTAAGGACAAAATAATGATTATATATTCCCAGTCCACCATTAGAAAAGTATTTGTTTCACTTCTATCCTGAATAATTTGAGAAGGACGTGTGGAAAGAATGCTCTTCCTGTTCTGGGTCTTGTCCTCTGCTGTTCAGCCCTTTGTTTAGAGGGAATCTCAAATGCCACTGCATGGTTATATCTCACCTTAATGCACTCAGATAAAATCTCCCTCTCCATTCTCCATGTATGTTTCACAGACATTTTTAGAGGCACAAAACAACCTCAAAATGCCATCTTGTAAAAAAAAAAAAAAATAAAAAAAAGGCATTGGTAGCAGATATTTCTTCTGACTCTTGACTGACAAGAATATGACTCTTTCTGAAGTCTCCAAATTGCCCTTCATTCATTAAAGGCAAAAGTGGTTTCAGAGTTCTTCTTCTTGTAGGCTTTGAGTTCATGCATTGAATCAGTGGCAAAGGTGACAGTGAAAAGCTGCAAACTATCCCCCAAGATCAGCCCCACTCTGTCTTTCCTGCAGAGATCCTCTGAGAGAAGGACTGGGTTTTGCAGAGAAAAGAAGCACAGTCTATGCAGAAGAACCACATTTATCCCTCTGCTAAATGCTTTATGCATCTGCAGTGCTGGGACCAGATTTGCCTCTGCATGCCAATTTTTCAAAAGAAAAGCCTTGGTTTTTCCAGATTAGTGGTGGAATATGTTTCAGCCAGACAAGCAGATCAGATACGCTTCCATCTGGAAGCCTGAGCCTGGACATAAACCTTAAAAAAATCTCCCTTCACAAAAACTTCTGCACAAATTATAACAGCTTTCCACCCCTGAGACAAGAAACCCTAAATATGGGAAGAACATGGTCAAATGTACCCTGAGAAAATCAGTGACAAGCATCACAAATTTGTGAGCAGATCAACACACGAGTTGAGGGCCTCGTCTTTGGGGCCATAGCATGCTTGTGCTCTGTGGAACAACTTGCAGCAGCAAGGCCAAGTGTTGACTCTGGCCCTATTTCCAAATGGAGGCATTGGCAGAAATGCAGAGGCTCAGCAATAGAGGAGAACAGAAGCATACCTACAGTGAAATTCAGCAGAAAACCCCAGCCATCTCTTCAGCTGATGGCTACATCTGAACTGGCTATCTAGATTCCCTGGATAGCTGATGAACAGAAGCATTTGTCCGATATGAGTTACATGCCCCACATGGCTCTTCTGACTATGAAGTGCATCCCTTTGACTAGCTCAGGCAAAGGCTCCTGTGAAACCTATCCCAGAGAAATTGTCTGAAAGTGCAAAGCCACCAGAGCACAAAATTTCCTGTGATAGAAGCATTAGGCCCATCTTCTATTCTGGGTGCACAATTATGGCTGAAACACACTGTGTGGCCTCTTCACAGTTAAAGACAAGGTTTAATCCTGCTCAACAGATGCACCTCCCTGATTTGAGGCTTGTCCACAGGAACAGACTTTATGACCTTTTATGAGGGTATATTCAGCCACAATAATACAGTGTAGAGGGAAGTGCTTACAATAAAAACCACAGATGTTCATCACAAAATAGGGTTTCGTCAACTACAACATATTACAAAAATATATAAGGTCTTTAAATTGCAGAAAAGCTTATGTATTTCAGAGCCACTGAAGGGAAGTTCTCATGGTAGAGAATATTCCAAACTGTATAACCTGTGAAGTCTCCACTGTTACCTAAACTTGACATTTCTGCTTGTTTTCTTTGTGTTCTTTTTTGCACAAAGCAGGCAGCTGACAAAAATGTCAGTTCCTTCCAGTCGTTGTGAGAGTCTGAGGAAATACATGCATTTGGAACTGGTTTATGTCCTCTAAATTACAACAATAACATTTTGTGTGTGTGTGTGTGTGTGAGAGAGAGAGAGAAAAAAAATTTAAACCATGAAGAGCAAGACTAAAAGGTGACAAACTTGTAAGAAGCACAAAATCCCATGTTTGGGTTATCTCAAAGAAAAGTATAGCTGAAACAATTCTCCAGAAGAGAAGAATCAAATGATAAGGAATAAAGTGTAATTCGCTCAAGAAGTCTTATCCATGCGTAATATGAAACTTGCTCATAAACAAGTACTATAAAATTCATGATGCCTTTCTTTCAAGGAAAGTAACAGTCAGAAAACAATTTCATGTTTTTAAGTGAAACTCACACATTAGACAAATTAGTTTCACCTTTGTGGACCTATAATCTTGGTTTTAATTGACTTCTATTCTTTATCCTAGCTTCAAATAATAGAAGATTCACTGCACGGTAAACTATTGATACTGGCTACATGACTGTGACATGTACTATCGCTCTGGCTCACCTCTGTGTGACATGTCATAAATGCACTACCTACCAGCAGTGGATTTGTCAGGGAATTGGAATAGGCAAGGGGTGAAGTGAGCAGGTACTCTAAGTCTGCAACTCTGAGTAGTCACAAGTCCCATCCACTTGCAGGGGTGATCGGGACTGTGTGGTGTTTTAGGAACAGCACTCTAGTTCAGTGCCCTCTTACAAGGAGACTCTCCCAAATCAGATGTCCATTGCTTGTTCCCCCCTCCAATGGGAGACACAAAAGGGAGAGATTATGGGCTGAGATACGAACAATTTACTGGAAACAGCAATGAGATAAGAAAATGAACAGTAACAGCAACAATATAATAGCAACAGTGTACAAAGAGAGGGCGATTTACAAGCAGAATGCTCACCAAGCTGAGACAATGGTAGCTGAGCCATACATCCACCACGTTTTGCCATGACTGGAAATGGTGCCCCCTCCTCTCAGAAGTGTGAGAGTTGTATCCCCCTCCCCAGACACGGTGTAAGAGGGTATGGGGTAACACTGTGCTTGCCACACCCACATGGCTCCAAACTACCCTCTCAAGGGCTACTGGGAAAATTAACCCAGTCCTTGGCTGGAACTAGGACAGCCTGTAATCCATTTTTAGGAACACATCGTGCCTAGAACCCAGCTTCTAGGTATTCAGCAGCAGAAATGTGGGAAATACTGCAGGGTTCAACATTATCTTCAAGACCACCATTCTCAGTGGACGATAGTTGCATAGGAGGATGGAGGGCCCAGAAACCCTTCCTTTTTGAGATACTGCAGATCCCTCTGGTTTCAGGAGAAACACTCCTAGATGCTGGAGGGAAGTAGTCAGGCCTTCTTTCCTCATCTATGACTCTGGAGGAAACAGCAGATGCATCTCCAGGACCCTCAAAGACTGGCAGAGGAGCATCTGGAAGAACAGCCCAGGGCATGCTGAGCTGCCCAGCAGCTTCCTCTCATGCATCCCAGGATACTCTCCTAACAGTGGCTGGTGTTGCCATCTGGATGGGCACAAATGTGGATTTTAGAATGGCCACAGGTTAACATTTAGAGGAAACAATGACTTCCACTCTGTGTTTATTCTGGGGATACAGATACTTTCTGTTCTAGTTATTTCTGCTTCTCACACTTTTCATGGCCCTTACAGAAATGTTTTCTGGCTCTGCAATACTGTCAGTAGGCAGGGTCATCCCACTCGTTGTACTTGTGCTGTCATTTTTTCCCAGCACAGATAGAAAGTCAGCAATGTCACAGGATTTGCATATGGCTTGCTCTTTAAGCATAGGCTTTAATAGAATTACAAAATGACTGACATGCAAGAAATTATTAGAGGGAACATGGAAATATAGCCACCAAATGCACAGGTCACTCACTGCAATTTGATAGAGGCCAAAAATCACAGTGCAGTGCCAAGTTCATATGATTCACAGCTAATTCAACGACACCTCTTACACACAAGCAAATTACAATCCCACCACAAGAATTTCCTGCCATTTCTGTCTTTTTGTCTCAGTAGTCTCCAATATCTGTTTAATATTCCAGCTACACAGCATTTAAATAGTTTTTAAATAGCCTCCCCATTCTCAAAGCAAAGATTTTCAACCTTCCCATGCCTTAAAGTCACTTAGTCATAAAGAATTGTCACCTTTCTCATAGTCTCAGCACATCCTGTTTGTCCAGCTACAAAGACGGCAAGGAAAACCATGAGCTCATTAATTTTCTTTCCAACTCTGAACCAAAAGAGCAGTCACTGAGCAGGAGTAACCAGCAACATAACCTCTTGATGCACAGAACCTATTGCTGCTTTGGTGCTGGTGAGATGTTGTTTCCTAGGAGCTGAGCAACCTGCTGGTACACCAGAATTTTCTAAGCATCATTTTTTAGTAGCTCCCAAATAACTTGTATCACAAATATTCACTCAATCAAACAATTAGATTGGGAAACAAAAATGTTAATATTTCTATGTAGTACTGGACCTAATATTGAGAGATTTTTAAACAAGCATTTCTGATTTCATTGCAGTGAGCAATGTCTGCCACTGTTATGGCCACTAAAATGTTTTGACTACCATACCTCATTTGCAGCAGCCTTAAGTTCAGAAATTAAATACAAAGCAAATATTTTAATGACTTCTTGGGTTCTACGTCAGCATTTTCATGTTTCCTCCAGTCACTACTAAATGACCATTCCTCAGTTCCAAACAAAAGCTCATAACTTTTCATTGATGCTGACTGCTTCTTTTCACATTACATGTGTTTCAGCTACAACTCTGTCAATTTGGACACCAGGGACAGATCTATATATCCTAATCTCCACACATCTCAACCCAGTGTTCCCTGTATCCTACTGACCAGACAAGAAAGGCAAACAACCATTTCTGTGCAGAGAGACAGAATAGACTTGGTGAATGTGTCAGACTGTGAGCAGGTAAGTTAATGACAGAACTCTGCTGATTCTTCAGGAATGATTTCTTCATTATTTAATATCATCTCAATGATTGGAATGTCATTACTGTTAGCCATGGCTGTTAATAACTTGCTGTTGCCTTATCTCATGATCTGCGTTGCTACAGCACCAAGACAAAGATTTGCCTCATCTAATTTACATATTCATCTCACAGTCTAAGCTAATCAGCTAGGATTTTCCATAACCAGTGAAGAATATCTAAAACACACATCTAAGTATCTTTGAAAAATTTGCTCTGTGATGGTGTCTGTTTCTCTCCCCTTATATGAAAGACATTAAATGACTGTCTTTGATAGCCTAGTTCCCCTGTGTGTTCCTAATTTAGCTTTGACAGCTAGAGTTAGGCAAGACAGATTCCATATTAAATTGCCTTTTAGACTTACATTCACTGACCTATTATAATTAGCATATGTAATATAAATTCTTCCTGATTTCCTTCTAAAACTATTTATTTTAAGCCATGCATTGCTTGGTTAATTCACACATCAGAATTGATCTTTTAGAGCTGTGCCACTTTACTGAAACAATGGAAATGAAGAAAAATGTATACAGCAGATTCTCAGATTCTAAGACAGATAAAGCAAAAATGTGCATTAACTAACTTGGCACAGAAAGCCCAAGTGAAACTACTGGGTAAACACCTGTCCAGAAAACTGATTCCAAAGGTGACCACCATGAGCCAAACTCCCTATTCTCCCTCATTTAGCTCCTCTCACCAATTTCATTACTTCAAATTACAATTATGTAAGAAATGTTTTCACAGTATATTTATTTCCAAAGTCCCTTTGTTACAAGGATTTGTTTTCTCTTATTTAGTGCTTCCAGTTGCATCACTGAGTAGAACACAGAGTATTTGTAGCTATGCAGGTAGCAAGGATCACTGCTAGATCCGTTTTGTATTAACCCATCCACATAAAAGGGATGCAGAGCACCCCAAACCAGTCCAGCCCCAGTCTGCCCCACTCCAGGCAGCTAAGGAGAGAAGATCAACAGCAAGTCAAGCAAAGCACACAGATGACCTGTGGACATAGCACATTTAACAGAAATGTTGCATTCTTACATAGTTCTATCCAGGACAACTTTGCATCTGTCTTGGCTCAAACTGGATGTGAATGCAATAATTTTTTAAAATATCATCATTGCATTACTTGAAGATTAAGACTATCTTGGGTCTAGAGAATATGGGGTGATTAAGTCCTGTGGTCTTTGTGCAAGACTTTAACCCGCATTATAAATATACAATTCCTGTTGCAAATAGCAAAGTTAAACACGTTCTTTGCAAACTGCAGCAGCTGGACCATGGAAAGGTCAGCTGTGTGTGCAGAGGGTCTTACTGAAAGGTCACAAGAGAGGCAAATAACAGTGATCTTTAGCATGGTCCACACCATCTCTCCCTTTGGAAAACACACACTAAGTCCCTCTGGCCGAACCTCTCCGCATCCTCTGTGTGTGCAGAGAGAGGAGGATGAAGGATCAATGCACATCACTAGTGGCTCTCTGCTAAGGGCTGTGCTCCAAGAGGTGTCTCCTGCCAGTACAGGCAGAGAAGAGGTAGAGAGCCCAACTGGGTCACATTGGATCCACAAGTACATTACAGACATAGCCAGTCTGTCTTTCTTAATACTTTTCTGGGTTTAAGTAATTTTTGTTATTGTTTTTATTCAAAATGTGTATACTGCCCACATTCACCAAGGCTCTGAAATACAAAAATTTTCATACATATATGGAAAGACAGGGTGTTCACACTTACTGTACTTTACCTCATGCTCTGCAGTTAATCATGCCTCAGAGCAAACCCCTTAAAATCTAACATGAGTTTAAGAATAGAAATTATAAAGTCATAGGAAACTGCTTCAGAATTGGGACCCAACTCATTGGTGGCCATTGACCATATTTTTTCAAACGTGGGGAAATAGCTGTAACATTGCACATTAACCTATAAATACCAAAGTGATAAATTAAAAATAAACAACAATTAATAAATAATAATTATCAATATTATAATAACTAATATTGTTTCTATTATTAATAATAATTCAATTGATATGTAATTAACAATAGTTAAACTGCTAAATTATTATTAATGCATTAATAATTAGAAATTTAAAATATTTCCCAAATAGTATTCTAATTGGTGGGTTCCAGGAAATTTCACTTTGCTGTTAAGACAATATCATACCTTTGAAAGTTCAATTCTGTACCTTTCAGAGTTCAGTTCTTATTCCATGCATTTCTTAATCTATTTCTTAGCTCCAGAGAGGTCTGTCAGGCCAAGTCAAACCAGCCTTTAGAAATTATGATGCTCAGTGAAGCGGGGCAGGGAGCACCTGTGCAAACTCCACTACTGGTGGGAATGGGTTAGGGGTTGAATTCTATATGCATAATTGTGAACTGGTTTCCATTTTAAGGTGGACAGAATTAAATAAAATATATAGGTACCTACTATATAATAGTGTATATATAAAATAAGGTAAAATGGTTGCACTGAATCACAGAAAGTTATAGAAATAGACAAAAAATCAGGCTCACCTGCTTAATTAAAGAACATCACCAATAAAAAAGAAGGCAGAGAAAAACATTTCTATAAAACTTGTTTAAATGCCACCAAGGAACAGTGTACAATAGATAAGTTTAGCATTTTGCTCATGAAAATGTTCTCCAAATTAGCTGTTGATTTATTCCCTATGGCATGGTGCTTGAGAGATTGGAAGGAAAAGTCTTTTATTCTCTGAGGATTATTTCCAGCATCCCTCAAAGCCAGAGGCTGAGCAGAAGAAAGCTGAACTGGAGGTGGGTTTTTATCCTTCCCTCCCAGCCATGTCTCAGGCTGCTGCCCCAGCACCCTCAGCTGCATGCACAGGAGTCATGGTGAGCTCCAGGCGTGGACCTTGGCTGTGGCTCTCACTGAGGACCCATCCCACTGCCAGCTGGTGACAGAATAGTCATTTGTCCTTATGGCCCACACTCAGACAACAAACACACAGCTAGCACACATGGCACATGAATCAGCTGGACATGGATTTAAATTTCACTGCACTAGAGGGAAAGAAACCCATGTTCTTTCATGAACTCTTCTCAGCAGCAAAGAGAGCCACCCCCCATGCAATCACTGCTAGACAAATTTTTTTTATTCAGTAAGCCTCTCAGAGATAAACAACTTTGCTATTAGTGCAGTGCAATGAAAATAAAATGCATGGCAGATGGTTGCCAGTGAGTCTTGTTCAAACACTTCAGATAAAAAGGGAATGGTGAAGAGACACAAGTGTAAAACAGAAATTGGTGGAAATTAACAATGTTATGAATTCACCACTGTCTTACAGACTCCTTTAACCATGGAAAACTCAAGATAATTGCAGATTTGCCCCTTTCTGTTTCTTCCACTCTAAAAATTTTGTTATAGTCTATTTTATATACAAAATATACTTTTTACTTCAGTAAAAAAATGTGAATATAGAAGTCAAGAAACATGAAATAAATGTATATATAATATGCCTCCAGCACGGGAAAGAAAATAGTAGAGAAAAGTTTTTTTATTATTATTATTATTCTTAAAACTTATTGTAGAGTTGTAGAATTATTGCAAGACATTATTATTGTCATTTTAATCACTAGGGATGAGCTATGTTGTTTAGACATATATTCTAAGCAAGAGGCCTGAAATTGGAGCAAAATGGAAAAATAACTATTTTTGCAAGCATGTCACACAAAGACAGACTCATTTCATTGAAGATTAGTATCTTTTATTGATTTATTTTATACTTAATTGAAAACAAAAGCCACTTACCTCTGTTACAAGGACTTCGTGAAAGACAAGAATATATGGTTTAATACTCATGTGTGTCCCTATGCACCTTTAAGTACCAAGTTTATTTCAGTGTTTTATTTTCAGCTGTCTCAGTGTTCCCACAAGTAATGGTCAGCTCAGCCAAAGGCTGCCTGTGACAGAAATTGTGAGGAGTCCCAGGCTAACAGCATACAGTGTATCAACACATTCTCTTTTATTAGCTTAAAATGGATTTTTTCCAATTTCACAGTAAGTTGCTTTGTTCTTCTACTATGGAGATGAATAGAAGCGCTATTTTTGTACCATGTTATGTAATTTTGTCGAATATCTTCATTAAACTAGATCAGTCCTACTCTTTTCAGAATCTACTACCTTCATTTTCAGTTTTCATTGCATCTGTCAAATAAATTTATAGATATTGATCAAAGATCTCTTAGAGCATCTTTTCTTCTGTCCACCTTCCAGCACTGAGGACAGAAAAAGCACATGACCAGATCTAGGAGTATTGTTCCTTTATTTCCCTCTTCATCATCCCCTCTAGCTTTGTGGTGGGGAAATCCCATCAAAATACCCTTGCTACTCCACTGCCTGATATTTTTATGAGAACACAGCAAGATTTGGAGAGACCTTCCTTGCACCATGGCCATCTCTGCAGTGTTTTTCCCAGTGAGGATGTTATCAGCCTTAGGCTGTGGCAGTGAACATCATAACCCACTTCTAGCACCAGACCCCTGCCCACCAGGGAAAGGGATGAGGCAAGATGAGGATGTATGGCAAAAAAATTATGGCAGAAATTTGTGACAAATGGTATTATTGTAGTCAATGACAAAAAAATTGAATGACTAAACAAAAAAAGTTAATGGTAAAACAATGAAAGAATGAGAATGCAAGGCAGATAATTAGGTGTACAAAAAAAAAAAGACAAGATCCAGATTGTGAAAAGTAAAAAAAAAATATTTACAGAGAACAGTATAATACTCACAAAGCCACAAGCACTGCATTCTTGCTATAACTATTTCATTAAAATTTATTTGGGTAATAAACCCAGACCAACTTCAAACTACATAACTTGTGGTGAAACTAGCACTAGTTTTGAGGACTCAAGTTGGAGAAAATCAGGGCGGAGTCAATGCCACTGAAACAGGGTCTCTGCTGGCTGAGTTTCTACTCCAATCAA